ACTCCATTGTATATATACACCACATCTTCTTTATCCATTCATCCATCGATGGACATTTGGGCTCTTTTCAGTACAGTCATCATAAATGTCATAAATGTATCCTATTAATATCTTAAAATTGTGTGGATTTTGTAGTTCCTATTGTAATTTCTTTTGTGTTGTGTTTTTAAGGTGGAACTTAACTTCTTGTGGAACAAGCGTTGCCAGCTCAGAATGCAGTGAGGAGCTATTTTCATCAGTTTCTGTTGGAGATCAAGATGACTGCTTTTCCCTGTTAGATGATCAAGACTTCACTTCTTTTGATTTATTCCCCGAGGGAAGTGTCTGCAGTGATGTCTCTTCTTCTATTAGCACATACTGGGATTGGTCAGATAGCGAGTTTGAATGGCAGGTAGGTTTTGTTTGTCTTTGTATTACCATCATTATTCCATAAATAGAAGAATGAATTTCTATTTTGATATTTTCATCTCTACCTCAAAGTAAATTTTCTTCAGTGTTTATCCAGTCCTGGAAATTCTCTGACAACATTAAGAATTAGATGGAATATGTATCCTTTATTTTTGATAATGTACCATTTAGGTATCTGATGCTGCAGATATCCTTATTTAGATTTTCATGTAATTTAATACTTGTATAATGTTCCCATTATTATATATAATCAGTACTTTTCTATGCATGAATCCAAGCAAATGTATTCTTCCTGCTATAGTAAAAAGCCTTCGTGTCCTTATAGGCACAATATCTTTGCATCAGGGTTATGTTCTGTATATCTGGGCTCTGAAACCATTATTATCATAAAAACAATTTTTGGCTCTGTTATCAGCAACACAATACAATTACTCATTTTGTATTCTCTTCATATGTAGAGATGTTTTTTGTCCTACAGTTTTTTTTTTCTTATGGCATATATACCATGTAAAATGGCTTTGTACAAATTGCTTGGAAATTCTGCCGTATAATGAATGCAGTCTATCAGAAAATGTAAATCATGTTATTGCAACATCCATTGTCTGATTGTAAAAAACAGTAACATTTGAAGAAGCTTTCCTTGCATATAGCAAATGTTATGTTCAACAGATATTTGAATGCCTACTATGTTTGAAAGCCATCCAAAACTTTGAAGTTGTGTTCTAAAAGAGGAATCAAATATTATTTTATTTTAAATATTTTCTTATTAAAATATGAAAACAGGCTGGCATGAAGTTAAAAATAAGTCTCCAAGTCCCACTCTGCTGTGGTTACCACTGTTAAGAGTTTGTGCAGATCCAATTATGTTTGCACAGTGTTAAAAACACACAAATGGGATCATATGTTGGCCACTGTTTGGCCCTTTGATTTTTTTCAACTAATATCTCATTCTTTTCGATACCTATATCATAATTTATTTAACCTGTTCCCTAATAATGGATATTTAGATTGGTTTCAGTTTTTTCTTGTTATAAAAATGCTACACTGAAAGTTAAATTTTTATTTCATTTTTTAAAGTTTATTTATTTTTGAGAGAGAGAACATAAGGACAAGTCGGGGAGGGGCAGAGAGAGAGAGAGGGAGACAGAATCCCAAGCAGGCTCCATGCTGTCAGCGCAGAGCCCAACGTGGGGCCTGAACTCCCCAACCATGACCCAAGTGAAAGTCCCATGCTCAACTGACTGAACCACTCAGGTGCCCCTGTGGGTTATCTTTTTACTTGATGCTGTCCTTTGACACACAAAATTTTTTTAATTTTAAAGAAGTTCAATTTATTTTTTCTTCAAATTCTGTGCTTATGATGTTATATTTAAAAAACCATTGTTTAATCTAAGGTCATGCAGATTTTCACCTGTTTCCTTCTTAGAGTTTCAGTTTTTACATTTAGGTCTTTGATGTAAGATAGGGATCCAAATTCATTCTTTTGCATGTAGATATTCAGTTGTCCCAACACCATTTGTTGAAAAGACTATATTCTTTTCTTATTGAATGGTCTTTGTACCCTTGTGGAAATGAATTGGTCATAGATGTGGGTTTAGTTCTGGACTGTCAGTTATATTCCATTAATATATATATGTCTATCCTTATGCCGGTGCCACAGTTTTAATTGCTCTAGCTTTGTAGTGAGGTTTGAAATCGGGAAGTATGAGTTCTCCTACTGTGTTCTTCTTTATTAAGCCTGTTTTGGCTATTGGGGATCCCTTCTGAAATTCCGTATGAATTCTAGGATTAAGTGATCCATTTCTACAAAAAGGGCAGTTGGAGTTTTGATAAGGATTGTATCGAATCTGTTGTAGTTTTTAGTGTCTAAGCCTTGTACTTTGGTTCAATTTATTCCTACATATTTTATTCCTTTGATACTGTTGTAAATGGAATTGTTCCTTTTAATTTCATTTTTGTGTTCATTGCTGGTGTATAGAAATAAAACTGTTTATATTGATTGTGTATCCTACCACTTTGCTGAACTAATTTTTTTAGCTTAAATGATTATTCTTCTCTGTGTGGATTCTTTTTTTTTTTTTTTTTTCAACATTTATTTATTTTTGGGACAGAGAGAGACAGAGCATGAACGGGGGAGGGGCAGAGAGAGAGGGAGACACAGAATCAGAAACAGGCTCCAGGCTCTGAGCCATCAGCCCAGAGCCTGACGCGGGGCTCGAACTCACGGACCGCGAGATCGTGACCTGGCTGAAGTCGGACGCTTAACCGACTGCGCCACCCAGGCGCCCCTCTGTGTGGATTCTTTAGAGTTTTTATGTTTAAGATCTTATTTATCATCTATAAATAGAGATAGTTTTTCTTCTTCATTTCCAATCTGGATAGCTTTTTTTTTCTCTTGCCTAATTGCTCTGGCTAGATCACCAGTGCAGTGTTGAATAGAAGTGGCAAGAATTGGCATCCTTGTCTTTTCTGATCTTAAGAGAGAAGCTTTCAGTCTTTCACCATGGAGCATAATGGTAGCTGTAGGTTTTTCATATATGCCCTTTATCATATTGAGGAATTTCTCTTCTATTCCTAGTTTGTTGAGTGTTTTTATCTGGAAGAGTATTTAGATTTTGTCAAAATGCTTTTACTGCGTTTATTGAGATGACCATGCAATTTCTTCCCTTCATTCTATTAGTAGGATGTACTACATTGATTTTTGTATGTTGACCCACCTTTGCATTCCTGGAAAAAAATCCTAATTGGTCATGGTATATATTCCTTTTAATATGCTGCTGGATTTCATTTGTTAGTATTTTGTTTAGGATTTTTATGTCTGCATTCGTAAGAGGTATGGGTCTGTAGTTTTTTTGTGATACCTTCGTGTTGCTTTGGCCTCATGGAATGAGTTAGGAAGTATTCTCTTCTAGATAAAATATTGTAATAAACTTTTTCATTTAGCATATAAACTTTTTCATGATCTTCATTATAACTCTTTTAATGACTTTATAATATTCCTGGTGCTAGATATGCCAGAGTTTGTGAAACCATTCCCCTATTTATATTCATTTCATATTTTTTTCTGTTTTAGATAGCACAGCAGTGAGCATCTTTGTGTCGGTACCTTTTTATTTTATGCCTCAGTTTTAAGTGCACACTTTGTATTTAAAATCAAACTACTACTTGGCAATGAGAAAGAATAAAATCATGCCATTTGCA